GGTTGAGCTATAGGCGCCGAGCCACAAGAGGATTTCTAAGCCCAGAAGTTTGATGAGGTTGCTGTGAGCTATGATGCTACGGCACTCCACAGAGGGTGACAAAAGTTTTATCATATATTCATGTATATACGTGTATACATATATGATTGTCAAGGTCTGATTTAAGCATGTTGGCATTGCTCCATCTTCTGTAAGTGGCACATTCCTATCTGTCCAATTCCTGGAACACATTGACACAAAAAGATAAGGAGGAAGCTTTAGAGTTTGCCCAAACTTTTTGGCAGAATTGGTGTTAAAGCTTAGTTTTCTGGAATATAGATGCACAAGAACAGTAAGATTTGAAGAAATAGTGGGTTTTATACATTACTTCTCATTTTGTAGAATCTTGAAGTTGATCCATGATTCTTAGAATCACACTGATTTCAAAGTTCAGTTAATCTTAAAGCTAATGCGCAAGTGAGAATGGCATGTGAGGGTGGTATTGCTCTTTTGTAGACACCTTCGGCAACCTGGCATCCACCCCAAGACTCCCAACAAGTTTAAGAAGTATAGTCGCCGGTCTTGGGACCAGCAGATAAGACTCTGGAAGGTGGCACTGCATTTTTGGGATCCTCCAGCTGAAGAAGGATGTGATTTGCAGGAAATGTATGTCTTGGTTTCCTCCATACTGTTTCTCTGACTGGTGTGGTGACTGAGCACCTCTGCATGTCTCTTGCAGGGCAGGTTGTCACAGGTGTAGGTCCCTGACAGGCAGGAGGGAGCAAAGTAGCTGCACCATGCCTATTTCTCTACGGTGTGTGAAGCTGGGTAGGTGTGAAAGCTCACTTTCTCTACAGTGAGTTGATTCCTGGATTGGATTTAGTTTTGTAGCTAGAAAAGATAGAACTCAATAATCCTGGGAATACATGGTGGCTGTTTTTGTTTGTTTATTTAAAGATGGAAACATCCTGGCTTGACGCCTTACAGCTCAGCGGCTAGAGCGCCAGCCACATACACCGGAGTTGGCAGGTTTAAATCCAGCCCAGGTCTGCCAGACAATGACAACTACAACCAAAAAACAGCCAGGCGTTGTGGTGGGCGCCTGTGGTCTCAGCTATTTGGGAGGCTGAGGGAAAAAAAAAAAAAAAGGAAACATCCTATGATATTTGACTAATTTATGTTGAGCTATGTATGTAAAGAAAAGTCTTATTGATTAAGGAAGATTTTTTACCTTTCTCCTCAGTTTTTAAATCTGGGTCTAACTGAAAGTATCCCAGGTTTGAACATAGTTGCACAGTGGGTCCCCTGCTGCAATAGTCTAGAAGGTCTTGTACTCATCCCCCTCTGGGGGCATTTCTGTTTCATCTCAGCTCCCTCTGGTCCTGAGCTTCTTTTTTTATTGAGCCTCAAGCTGTCCCCCTGGGTAGAGTGCTGTGGCATCACAGCTCACAGCAACCTCCAACTCCTGGGCGAGTCTCCTGACTCTGCCTCCCAAGTAGCTGGGACCACAGATGCCCACCACAGCACCCGGCTATTTTTTGGTTGCAGCCGTCATTGTTGTTTGGCAGGCCTGGGCTGGATTCGAACCTGCCACCTTAGGTGTATGTGGCTGGTGCCTTAGCTGCTTGAGCCACAGGCGCTGAGCCTAGTCCTGAGCTGCTTCCTTCCTCAGACACATTTAGACATTCAACAAATATTTCAAGTTTCTTTGTGCTGGGAAGTTTATTAGAAAGCAGCATATTTGAAATGATTTCTTAACGTGGCTTTACACATTTAGCCTGACAAATGTCACATGGTTTTCTTTCCAGCATGAACCATTGTGCTGTTTTCTATGAATAGAAAATGGCAAAATTAGTAATAGTGTAGAGTTGGCTTGTCATGGTGTTCATTCCTTCCCTCAAAAACTGAGCTTGTTACAAGTGCCCTACTCTCAGGGAACTTGGAAGTGTCCCTAAATGATCCAGAATCCTGCAGCTGTCGAGCAGGTAGATTTCCTGTCTCCTGTAACCACTGTCAGCTTCATCTCTACTAGATTGATTAGGCCAGGGTTGGATCTGGCCAGTGGGAAAGGTAATGTCAGTATCATTTAGGCAGGAGGATATGGGTAGAGCTGGTTTTTAAGGTACAGACTTGGAGAACTTACTGTGAAACCAGTGGCTGACACTATTGGATTTTATTTCACAGACACCCCATAGACCTGGAATCCCCAGAAAGTGGGTCTGAGCCCCAGATGAGCTCTCAGGATGACTTCGTAAGTACTTTCTTTGGATGTGTCATTCAGCTTGGGAGTTTCAGGGGAATTGTTGATAACATAGGCCACTTGACTGGGCATGGTGGCTCACACCTGTAATCCCAGCACTCTGAGAGGCTGAGGCTGGTGTATTGCCCTGAGCTCACAGGTTCGAGACCAACATGAGCAAGAGTGAGACCTTGTCTCTAAAAATAAATAGCCGGGTTATTAGGAGGCTGAGGCAGGAGAATCACTTGAGCCCACGAGTTTAAGGTTGTTGTGAGCTGTGATACCACAGCACGAGGGTGACAAAGTAAGACTCTGTCTTTAAAAAAAGGGGGTAGGGGTTGGCTAGGAGTGGTGGCTCACACCTGTAATCCTGGCACTTGGGAGGCTGAGGCCAGGGAATTGCCTGAGCTCACAGGTTTGAGAGCAGCCTGAGCCAGAGTGAGACCTTGTCTCTAAAAATAGGGCATTAAAAAAAAAAAAGCAGGCGTTGTGGCGGGCAACTGACATTTTAGCTGCACTGTCAGAAGTTCGAGGTAAATGAGAAGCCCTTGGGGGAGAAGGGAGAGGAGACTGCATGGGTATGTGGGAGCCAGGCCATGAAGAGGCTGGGTGCTGGGTTCTTGGTAAGAGATCTGGGGGCCTCCAAGGAACAGTGGCTTGATGGGTAGAAGAGAGGAGAGAAGGCTAAACTAAGTAGGTACTTGGAAAAGCTCTTTTCTCTAAAACTGTTTTGAAAAACAATCTATATAGCAAACCCTTATGTGGCTATCTGCTATTTATTTGTATATTCCTTAACCACTTGGAAGTGGCAGTGGAGCTTTGCCAGTTGATGTTACTAATTCTGTCTTTTAAGATTGAGGTAAGCACAGTGTAGTATTCACATGTGGGAAATGTATTATGCACAAAATTTGTCTGATAAGCAGTTCACATTTAAGGTTTCCCAGTTGTTCCAATAATGTCCTTTTGAGTATTTCTCCTTTTTTTTTTTTTTTTTGGCCGGGGCTGGGTTTGAACCTGCCACCTCTGCCATATGGGCCAGTGCCCTACGCTTTTGAGCCACAGGCACCACCCATATTTCTCCTTTTTGATACAGAACTTAATCAAGGATCACACACTTAAACTATGGTGCCCTTTTTTTTTTCCTTTCACCTAGAACAGGCTCTCTGCCTTTCCCCATTATGGGGACTCATTTCATTGAAAAGGATCAGTTTAGTGTTTTTTTTTTTTTTTGTAGAGACAGAGTCTCGCTCTATCACCCTCCGTAGAGTGCCGTGGTATCACACAGCTCACAGCAACCATCAGCTCTTGGGCTTAGGCAATTCTCTTGCCTCAGCCTCCAGAGTAGCTGGGACTACAGGTGCCCCCACAATGCCTGGCTATTTGTTGTTATTGTTGTTGCTGTTTGGCAGTATATGGGGCTGGCGCCACCCAGTTTAGTGTTTGTAAAGCTGTGTCAATTTGAATTGCTGGTTGCTTCCTTAAGGATTAGGTCAGGTTGGATCATTTGGGCAGGAATGCCACGGGAAACATGTTGGTTTGTAAGTTTATAGCATGATTCAGATGGTATTGACCAGAGTACATTTAGAATTCTTTCTGTGCTTATAAATCATTTAACTTTGTATGTTATGCAGTAATGGTACATATGATCCCTCTTTGGAGTATCATCAGCATCTGTTGCAATTGAGTTATACACCTTAATGTGCCATAAATTATGTGATACAAATAAGTTGTGGGGTGTATGAGGTGTCTTCTGCTTTAGGGTCAAGGTGAGCTTGGGGAAGGGGAGATGGGCTGTCTTCGGTCCTCCCATCTCCATGCTGAGGCAGGTCTTCTTTGGCTGGTGTCTGGTATGGCCATTTTGGTGTGATTCTGCTCTACTAGTCATAGGTGGGCGACTGTGCCTGGTCCTCCTGACAGCTCCCGTTAATACCATGGCTCAGATGTCAGGGCATCTGTGAGCTTCTGATTCTAACCTGGGATGGGAGTAGTTCAGTGAGTAGGAATCTGACGCTTCAGCTACTGTGGGATGTCACTCACTGTCTGTGAGTTTCAGTGAGCTGCTTTGCATCTCCTGCTGCCAGCCTTCTGCCTTCATGTGACCTTCACTGGTGATGCTGGGCACAGGAGCAGGTGCCATTCCCTCCCTGGTGGAGCATGCAGGCCTGTGTGTGGGGTCTGTCTTCTGGACGTGTGCATGACCTCTGTTTCTCTTTTCTAGGATGTCTACTCTGGCACACCCACCAAAGTCAGACACGTGGACTGCCAAGTGGAGGACGAGTTTGACTTGGAAGCTTGTTTAACTGAACCATTGAGAGACTTCTCGGCCATGAGCTAGCTGTGCCACCTGGGCCAACAGAGAAACAGGTGCCCCCGTACCCGGTGGGAGGCCAGTGAGGCCAGGCATGTATCACGCTCCTCTACCTGGGTGGTTTCTCTGTCAGTAGCTCATGATCTCATGATGATTGTTATTCCTGCCTTATTGTCATAAGAAACGTTAGTTTTATGTACCAGTGAGTGTATTTTGCATGTTTTAAATTGTTAATGAAGCTAAATCCAAGAAAAAGACTTGAAGCAGTTTTGCAGCAAACTTAAATTGCTTAATCTTGACCATCCAGGTTAAACTTACATGTATCCTTTAACAGGTTTTCCACAAGTATTTTAAACATTAAGTTGCCACTTGTCAGGATTGTTTTGCATTTAACCATGAATTCATGGGACCAGTTTAGAGTCAGCATTCTCTGCCAGGGGTCTGACAAGGTATTCTTTGTGCCAGACACCTACGTGTCTTCATGGGACTGAGTTTTTGGCCTTTTACCAACATGTTCAAGTGGTTTTTTTCCTCCTCTAGAGCTCTGAACAGTTACACTTATTAAATTAATGGGTTTTATGTCAGTTACACAGTCTTAATTTGGTGCTTGTGAATAGCGCTGGGTAGGCTCTTTATCTATAATACTCCAAGATAAGGCAACAGAGGGATTTAGAACTTTTTTTGCAATCACTTAATTTACTATGTAAAATTGCTGTAAATGATATTGTGTACAGATTTTCTGTTCAAATATTCAATTGTAAACTTCTTGTTAAGACTGTTATGTTTCTATTGCTTTTGTATGCAATGATGTTGCAAAAATAAAAAAGGAAACCTTTAGGATGTTGCAGGTGAGTGGTGCTGTGAGCACATTATTTGCAAGATCAGTGTGTCTCTTTCATGTCTGAAGTATTTGTGTGGCAGGAGGTGACTGTGTGCTCAAGAGGTTGCTGGGTTCTCCCCTATGCTGACTCTGTGCTCCGCCCTGCATGGGGAAAGGAGGGTATGTCTGATGGGTTTGGTGCTCCTTCAGGCTATGTCTGGACCCAGTACAGAGCAGGTGACCTTCCCTACTTCCTCAACACCCAGGGTCAACAGGGACAGACCCCATAGCAGAGCCAGCGTTCGGCCCAGTCACAGGTCCTAGGGGCACTGGCCTGCCTTCCATAGTGCACCTGGGACTCTGGAAGCTGCTTGCAGATGTGGCCACCAGCCCATGAGCCGTGGTCACATATCCCAGAGATATTCAGAATTAATCCTGGGCTCACTTCAAGCAAGAAATGGGCTCTGGCAGGAGTTTGAAAAGGCAGAAGGCCCTTCCTTCTTAACACATCTGTGGACCCCTGTGTCAGGTAAGGGTGTGGGAGACACGGGCACAACAGGAGACAGACTGCCTGAGATGAGGTAGTGTATGTCAGGTGGACCAGGCTTGGCAGAGTGGTTGGGAGACATCAGATGGGATAGCATTTGAGCTGAGATGTGCTGTGGCCTTGGGGTGGGAGTGTAGCATGTTGATAGCCAACGGTGGTATCCTGAGGCCTGGGAAGACTTTGGGGGCAAGTCTGTGAGGAAACTGCTGGGGAAAGCCTTGGCTTTGAGGCTGTGAGTGAGGACCAGTAGGAAGATGTGGGTAATATGGAAGGTAAGAGAAAAGCAGGTCCTTGTGTAATGACCTCGATGCTTCACTATGGCAGAAGAACATAGCAAATGTCTAGTGAGCTGGAGGTGTGGACGGGCTCTTCAGGCAGGAGCTCCTGGAGTCCTTTTACTAAAAGCTGAAACAGCACAGGAAGGGCTCCAACTTGGAAGGAGCGGCACTTAGCACTCTTAGGTGTCCATACCCTTGCTAGGTGGCAAAGGTCAATCAGAGGATGCCAGGAAGATGGATCTGTGCTGAGATTCTCATGAGACCTGCCTGTCTAACAGGTCTGCTTGTCCCTCAGCAGGGCATGAGACAGATGGGTTGTTTTGAAGACTTGAGTATATAGCTTTTGTCTAATGAATTGAACCACAGTGAGAGTCACAGGGGCCTTGTAAAGCTTATGAAAGAATTACACGGGCATTGTCACCTGCAGGTTGTGCTGAAATGAAAGAGGCCTTGGGCTCGGCGCCTATAGCTCAACCGGCTAAGGCGCCAGCCACGTACACCTAAGGTGGCGGGTTCGAATCCCCAGCCCGGACCCGCCAAAACAACAATGACGGCTGCAACCAAAAAATAGCCGGGCGTTGTGGCGGGCGCCTATGGTCCCAGCTACTTGGGAGGCGGAGGCAGGAGACTCGCTTGAGCCCAGGAGTTGGAGGTTGCTGTGAGCTGTAATGCCACGGCACTCTACCCAGGGGGACAGCTTGAGGCTCTGTCTCAAAAAAAAAAAAAAAAGAAAGAGGCCTTGGGCTGGCAGAGAGCAGGCTGAGACACTAGCCCCTTTCATGGAAGAGGAGGGATAATTCCAGAGTGGGGTCTGTAGCCCAGAAGCCTGGGGAGGCCCTAGAGCAAGGTCAGGCCCTTGTGGGGACCTGCCCCATGTGACATTGCCTGGCACATCAGTGGCTCCTGGGAGTGGCTTTTGCAGTTACCCTAGGTCTGTGCCCCCTGCTGTGAGGTGTGTAGCCTGGCAGGGCTGGTGGGTGGTTCTGAGGTCTTCACCTGGGACTCAGCCCCAGGACCTGACCTTAAGGAATGATGTCCAAGGAGCCCTGTCCATATGGGAACAGATACAGATGACGTTCTGGACTAATGGTTAACCCTGGAACTTGGAAGCCTTGGCAGAAGAGTGGCATATCTTAGATTTTGGAGTATTATAAGTAATCTTTGGCCAGGGTGGGCTGTGTAGAGGGATGTGATGGGTGAGGTCAAGGGTGGGTCTCGGTTGCAAGGAGGACATTGACCTGCCCAGGTGAGACAGGTGCTGGGGTCTTGAGTAGAGGCGTGAGGCCTGACTTGGGCTTCAGAAGCGTCTCCCAGGGTACTGGCTTTTGTTTCACATTTAAATTCTTGGAATGTTCTTACGCACCAAGGAAATCAATCTTCAGACTTGAGTGCTTGCCTCTTAATGCTGTTAATGTAATCTAGTATTTTCTCTGAATGTTACAAATAACCAATAGGATAGGATTGAGTTGTCTTTATTCCTGACTCTTGTACATTGAACCCAGAAATGTCAGAACTAAATTAAGTGTGTCCAGCATGATTAATTCTTCACAATCCCAGGCTGATTGCTATCTTGTCCGCATGGGTGAGTCATTTTCCTGTCTTTCCATGTATAGCTGGGGTCAGCTTATCAGCGTTGTCATCCCATATCCTCAGACTTAACTTCTCTCCCTGTATTGTGAAGCCTCTTGTGTTTCCTGCTGGCCTGTCACAATCTTGCCCTCAGGTTCTCTTTTTCAGCATTTCTGCCACCAAGTTGCTGAGTCCTATGTCCCTTTGATGGAAAAATGTGGACAGAATCTCCCACCTGGGTTGATAGCCTCTGCCTGAGCCACAGGGCCAGCCCCTGATGGCTTTCTGGCCCATGTAGAGGTTCCTGATTAACTGATGAATTATAGGATCTATTACTTCACGTGGGCAAATCCAAAAGGTCTGCTGGGTGATGTCCTGCTATGGCACTTGATGAACTGGAGGTGGCTCGAGTAGCAGAGAGTTAGCTGTCTACTGAGAGCCTGAGGGGAGTTGGAGGAGCTGTGCCTATTTGATCACCAATCTGCATATGATTTTATTTGTGGGTGACAGGGTCTTGCTCTCTTGGCCAGGCTGGAGTGCAGTGGCCTCAGCTTAGCTCATAGCAATCTCAAACTCCTGCACTCAAGTGATACTCCTACCTTAACCTCCCCAGTAGTGCCCGCCACCATACCCAGTTACTTTTTCAATTTTTTTTTAGAGAACTGGGTTTTGCTATGTTGCACAGGCTGGTCTTGAACCCTTGCCCTCTGATGTTCTATAGTGCTGGGATTATAGGCATGTGGGACCTCGCCTGGCCCTTTTCCCCATTTCAAAAGATTGAATAAAAAATATATATTAAAAAATGGACCAGTTTTAGCTATCTATCTATATATATATATATATATTTTTTTTTTTGAGACAGAGTCTCAGTTGCCCTTGGTAGAGTGCTGTGGCGTCATAGCTCACAGCAACCTCAAACTCTTGGTCTCAAGTGATCCTCTTGGCTTAGTCTCCTGGTAGCTGGGACTATAGTTTTTTAGGGTCTCGCGTTTAGCCATTTTAGAATGTATAATTCAATGACATTTAGTATATTCAGTTTATATCAACCTTTACCACCACTTCCAGAATATCTGTATCACTCCAAAAAGAAACCCTGTGCTTCTTAGCAGTACCCTCACCACCTCCTCTATTGTACTTTCTGTCTCCATGAATTTGCCTATTCTAGATATTTTATATATAAATGGAATCAAAATATTCTTTCGTGTCTGGTTTATTTCATTGAACATAATGTTTTTCAGGTGTATCGATGTTGTATCATGTGTCAAATTTTTCTTCCTATTTAAGGGTGAATATTCCACTGGATAGCTCACAACCCATGTTTTGTTTATTCATCTGTTGATGGACATTTGGGTGGTTTCCACCTTTTAGTTGCTGTGAATCATTCTGCTATGAACATTCATATATAAATTTTGGTCTAAATTCAGTTTTGTTGTTGAGAGAGTCCCACCCTATGCCCTGAGCAGAGTGTAGTGGTGTCATAACTCACTGCAATCTCAGATTCGGGCTGTGGGCATCCTGCTGCCTCAGCCTCTGGAAGCTGCTGGGATTATAGGTGCTCACCCTGGTGCCTGGCTGGGTTTTTCATTTTTTGAATGATTCGGTGTCTGACTCTCACTCAGACAAGTCTCAAACTCCTGAGCTCAAGTAGTTCTCCCACCTTAGCCTCCACAGTGCTGGAATTGCAGGTATGAGCCATCGTGCCCAGCTTATTTTTTTTATTTTTAGCATAGTCTCACTCTCTGTCCTGGGTAGAGTGCTGTGGTGTCATAGCTCATAACAGTCTCAAACAACTGGGCTCAAGTCATCTTGTTTCAGCCTCCCGAGTAGCTGGGACCACAGTCACATACCACTATGCCTAGCTAATTTTTTTCTTTTTAGTAGAGATGGGTGCGCGCGCGCGTGTGTTGCTCTTGCTCAGGCTGGTTTCAAACTCCTGAGCTCAAGCAATCCATCTGCCTCAGCCTCCCAGAGTGCTGGGATTACAAGCATGAGCTATCACACCTGGCCTAGTGGGGAGGTATTTAACATCTCCCTGTAGGCTGTCACATGGCAAGGGCTTGATGGACGGTGCTGTGATGGTTTTCTCTGGACAGAGAGATACCACCTTAGTGGGGTACAGAATCTCAGTCCACTAAAATAAGGGCTGATAGGGACAGGTGGATATAATTTAGTCACGTGGCTTTGACATACACAGGTGACCTCGGTGATTTGAGGTAGTTGTCACAGGTCCAGATGGGCTAGGCCAGAAAACCCAACTCAGGAGGGGGTGTCCCTGGCACAGGTGCCATCAGGTGTCTGTGTTCTCTTCTGTCCTCCTCTGCTCTGGCACAGGTCACAAAGCCACTTGCCTTGGGGTGACCTGGCCAGCTCAGCTTGAATGTTGGAGGAGGGGATTAAAATAGGGGGACTGGCCTGGATGAGTGCTCAGCCGTCCGTTGCTGGCTGTGCTGGGTTGTCTGCTTTTTCAGGTGGAAGTGGCAGTCCATCTTGGCATCAGCTAGCCTTGCTGGGCCCAGAACCTGCTTGGGCTGGCCTGATCCCTAGGACCCCTTGTCTCCCTTAGCATCCAGCCCTAGGGTGCCCTGGGGTGAATGGCCTCACCCAGGTCTCTAAGCCTCC